AAAATTTAGAACGTCTTCAAATAGGTTTTTTACCCATGCCGCATCCCAGCAGTGGGACGCAATGTCGCCACGTGTTAATTATCGTCGTTGAAAGAGGGTTTGCGCCTCTTTCCAAACGTTGTGCAGGAAATTGCAAATTTTCATCGCCCAATTATTTGACGAAGAATTGAGAGAAGAGCTAGCCCACCCAGGAATGTTGTCAGTAATGCGATTCCATTTTCTCCATAAGACAGTGACTCCTGTCATTTCAAAAAGTATCAGCAGAGCAAGGTCAGCTGAAATTGTTTGATCTTTAGGTACGGTACGTCAAAGCTGGTGCAGGTGTGGCGGATCGTCTGGCTCACACGTACAAACTGTTCCACATGCAAATGTCCACTGCTTCTGAGGATATGTGCCCAAGGGGTGGTGAGATGAGGCTTCTTCTTTTTTGCCTTGCCAAGTTTGAGACAAAACCAAACAAAGTCACTGCCTTGTCCAGGAGAGGGACACTCGTAACTTGTCGCGTCGTCGCGCGCGGCGTATCATGCGGCAATGCGCGGTAGGTTCTCGATCTGTTTCAGTTGGTCGATTGGAGCAGCGAAAATTTAATGGAATCAAGCGGAGACAATACTTCGTGACATATCTAATTTTTCCCCAACTTTTAGGAATCTCAGACGCGGCTCTCAAATAGACGCTGGGAAGCTTCCTTGCCGCTTCAGTGCTAAGAAGTGACTACCCTCTTTCTTTCATTTCGAGGTTTTTTTAGCTAGCCAGAGGCTACCTCTCATGTTACAGGAAGGACAAAATCCCGAGCTTCTACCGCGAAGTGATACGCTTTCCCGGAAGGATCATTTTTCATGCATCGCATAGATGGAACATCATGAATATACTACGCGGACCACGCGGACTGTATTGTTCGCTGCGGATGAGGGGGCGTGTTCGGGATATGTTTGTCCTGTTGCAAGCCAGTGTCTTTCCTTTTTTTTGTTTCACCGAGCGCTAGGACTGTATCATTTCGTTCGTATCAGATTCCACCAATTGTTGGCGGTCACACACTTCAACAAGTGTTGGAGAACGGGTTGGCGGCCCGGCAGACCCAGCCTCACCGACTTACTCCTCATCTGCGGCGAACAAGACCGTAGATATGTAACGCCTATAACGAGTATCGGTGGTAATTTCAGAGGACGGAGAAAAAAGAGGAGTACGGTTTTTACCATACCGTACCCCAGTGTTCTCCCATCACCTACCATGTGTTCTGTCCCCCGCATTATAAAATGGGTTCCAACATTATTTCGAGTCATCATGTTGAGCTTTCTCAAACTTTGGAACGGTTTATTTCCTACGCTTGCTCGTTTAGGGATGTCTGGTCAAAGTCATGTGTTGGGTGCATTTGAGTGGAACACCACGGCTCCGTTATCGAGGACTCCGGACGCGTTGCTTGTCCAGACCGGCTGCTGTTACGAAGAACGAGGATCGGGGCACTTATACGCGGAAAACCGAGAAAGCATAGTGGCGATGATGAATGAAAGGTGAGCTGTGCTGCTATTCACTAAACTCTTTAACAGACATGCCTTACGGGTTGCTGTTCAGGCTGAAAGGCGTTCGTCTGGTCGGCGATGACGTATCGCTGGCCCTGCGCGCGGATAACGGAGAGCTACACACGCTTAAAATGACTACAAACCACTACGGTGCAGCGTTTGTCGGCCTTCCGAATGGCACACATCATGTTCAAGTGATGAAAGGCGAACAACTTTATGCAGAATTCAATGTCCAGGTTTGCTTGAATGTTTCAATTTGTTCAACACATAGAAAAAAAATCAGTATTGCTGGAGCCGATCTTGACTGAACCATGTCTATTTCGGCATTCTTAACCACAACTCTAACGACTATGGATAGGTTTAACAGAAAGTCTTACTTAACCGACGGTACATATTTGAAAACAACTTTTCATTAACAAAAATGCGACTTGAGTGGTGTGGAACTGAACTGTCAGTTTATTTTTCTCCTGATGTTATTTTGGACATCAGAGCAGATGGTCAGATGTCGGATGTGGCCAGGCCCTTAGGGTACAATATCTGACGTTAAACTTCCCTTTCTAGGCCCCTGAATTTCTCAACGAGTCATCTTTGACACAGGCGCGTGACTTCTGTAAAGAAAACAGACATTGGCAGCTGGATAGCTCGTAGCGTTGCTTCAGCTATCTTTTATGAATGACCGGGAAATGCATCGCCTTAGAACTGCGAGTGCCACTTCCCAGGGGTTCATAGTGGAGCATTACATCGAAATTCCCGTCAAAACACTGAAGGCTCTTCTTTTCCGTGGAGTGCATTTAACTTTCTCTGGTGTCTATTCTGCTTGAGAAACACATTGAGGGTGTATGAGACTAACAGCCCCCCAGCTGTCGATGTGTCGTGGTTTCCCCGCCTGAAACTGCACGGGGGTCCGAGTACGGGACCGTGGGAAAGGCTTATTCCTTGCTACACCGCCCAAAGAGTGGAACCACCTTGTGCGCGGCGAAATGCAACTTGCGTGAATTTTGGGCGGTGTAGCAAGGAATAAGCCTTTCCCACGGTCCCGTACTCGGACCCCCGTGCAGTTTCGGGCGGGGAAACCACGACACATCGACAGCTGGGGGGCTGATAGTCTCATACACCCTCAATGTGTTTGAGCGTACCATGTGTCTTTAAGTACGGTAGTAGTATGGGTCCCAGGCTTCATCCTCCATTGTCATCTTTGCTTGCACCTGTACATCTCAGACAATAGGCAGGTAGCACTGTCTGGTTCTGTCAGCGATGCCCACTTTGTACTGATGACGGTTGTCCAGAATGTCCTATTCCTGAAAGCGGTGATGCCAACAAGTGACCTGAATACCTCATGAGCACAGTACACAGACTTCTTATTGCTGCAAGATGTCCTTGTAAGCGACTAAGGAAGATTAGGTGGTCCAGTGGGATCCATGGCTGCGCTTTGCTTAGGTGTGAAATGATACATACGGAACAATGAGACACCATTCCCTTCGAACCGGATTGGCCCTCGCCCAGGCGAGCCAGCCCTTCTACCCTCCTGGGACGGTGAGCTGGCACCAGACTAGTCTAGGATGATGGAAACGGATGAAAGGGTGGGTGGCTTGTATAGCGGCTAAGCAGCGCAAGTTGCTATATAGGTCACACTGCATTCGAAGCGCCACCACTATTCTGATTCTAAGCGGAGTACGTGCCGCATTTCGAAAAGGGATCGAGTTAGTGAATGGCGGACTAAGAGTGGTGCACTACTTCCTGTTCTATTATAACGTGTCTCTCTCTAAAAGTAGGTGATTGCTACAGTACGGGCAGTATCTTTCAATATGTGCAGTTTCTTAATAGGACCTGCTAGCCCGGTTTTGCCGTATTCTGCGCAGCGGTTCATTCTCTTTCTTATCACAACAGTGAACATAGTTAAAGGCAGGAGGCACGATAAATCCCTAAGATGAATAGGATTAGTAATAGCAGGGCGGAATTCCTGGCTAGCGCTATGTAGCGCCTCTTCCAAGGAAGGTACCCTTATAAGGCCCTATCAAGCTGCAACATACCGACCCGAACGCCCACCGCGCCGCCCGCCCACAAATGGACGACCGTACCTGATGCTCGTATTGCTTCATTTGCGAAGTAAAATATGAAGCGAAGGGATTGACATGAAGCGGCCGCGGTGCTGCATGGATATATGAGTACATACGTGCAGCCGTATCTACCGTAACGGTTATTGGCAAGATGCCTACGGGAAACTCGTCCAAAATCTTGAATCATTAAGAACGAAGGTTTTCTTTGCAGGTTTTTGACCGTTTCACTTCGTTTTTTCGCCATTTTCTCACTATATTGCACCCTGCTAGCAATTTTGTAGGCCAAGTATCGAATTATCGTTCCAACGGCCTTTCAAATTCACAATCTTTATTGCAGATAACCAGCACAGCTCCTCTAGTGGAAAAATGGATTGATTTACACCACTCGTTTTGGCGGAATAACACCATTGTGATTGCCTCGCTAGTTCTACTCATGATGATGGCTTGTGTAAGTTTTCCCTTCTCATTCTCTTTAGTGTGTCATTTTTTGTTATTCTTGTTTGGTCGGTTGCCTCAGTTCGGTTCATGTCTGACCTGTCTCAAGGCGGACGAGTTTTGCATGAAGAATTTTCTTCTTACCTAGACTGCTGTGATGGCGGCTTAATATTCAAAATTGAAGTCGAGTAATCAACTTGCGACATCAAGCTAAATATCTAGACGATTTACTAAATGAACACGGTTTCCGTTTTTCTGCCGAGACCCTATCTCTGTTTGTTTTTTTTGTAGGGAATATGAAGCCCATAGAGGCTAGCTCCACACGACATTGCTTTGGAACCCAAATCTTGGGGGTTTTTTTTGTTGTGCCATGGGGCTATCTAAGACGACTTGTCACGGAAGGGTGGTAAGTCAAAGCGACCGTTTGGAATGGGATGTGTCCCCGACGGATCTGTTTTCGGATAGTGACTACGGACCCGTCTTCCATATCTTCTGCGGACCTTTCTCAGCAAGGAGGCATATACTCAATCATTGCGAAGGGAAAGCGTAAGACTGCCCCAAATATGACACCTTGGCACAGCAGTCATGGTAATGTGTGTGTGCGTGCAACTCGATTGTGATTTGATGTGAATTATGATTCACAGGGTCGAAGCCCGAATCCTCTTTCGCCCAAGCTAGTAAAGCCTTCTGCCTTCGAGACGGCACGGTAGGGTTAGGGCCAGACTTCTCAGGGTGAATGAGAACGCTGACTATGTACATCGACTGGCCGCCGCAACTCAATTTATAGGCCATATCCATTCAGAATGACACTACGTTTCTGAATGGAAGCAGAATACATGCAGCATCCCAAAAAGGGATTCATCAACAGTGAAAGTCTGACCCTTATGTGTTAGTGATGAGTCGATACGTTTTTCCCCCTACGTGGATTGCTACCAGTACCAGTGCTCCTAACAAGTGAGGTCGTTCAGGCCGTGGTGAGCTTTTTCAAAACGATTTGTTGCATGTTGTAGGGGTCCATACAAGGACCACACAGATGGGTTTCATTTTTGCTAAACGCTACTGGGAATGTCAAAAAAAAGGAATAAAACAAATCGCTCAAAATACGCAAGTGTTTTTCATCATCTTATCCTCGCAATACGTTTTCTAGCCTGTGAAAGCAGAACAGATACATAGACGTTATTAAGTGTTTCTCAACTAGACATTGAAAAAACAATATTGAATAAGCAGGCGAGAGAGTGAGGCTGCTTTACTTTGCCATACAATAGGTATAAGCCTGCAAGTTCTTTAGCGTTGTGAGGTTGCCGAGTATCCCTTCGCGCTCGGCAAGTGGCCATTTCAGCGCCACGATGGCCGCCCCAAGATAAAGGCGGGCGTTCCCCGGCGCCATAATAATTGTCAGAATCGTGATCAGGGCGCATTTGTACCCACTATTGAGAGAGTTTGCCATCGAAGTTTTTGGTGGTCATGGACTTGACCATTTGGATGGCAGTGACAGGCGAACCACCATTGAGTATCCTCTCTGGCATACAAACCACCAGAAATTTTTCATTTCTTGCACTCTCAACTTCAGTAGGTTTACATAGAACACCGTGCTGGCTTCGGAGTCATTAAACGAGCATCCTGAAACTTTCTCCACTTTTACCGTCTTCGACAATTTCGACAAAGAACTCGTTACCACCTGCCCGGAAAAAGATCTTGTTTCTCCCATATCAAAGGTATAGTGGTGTGCAGTGTATGTGCGTCACGCTTTTTGTGTAGTTTCTAGTTCTGCGTCCGCATACTTGCAAATGAAAAGCCTTCCTCTTAATGATGTTGGATAACGACTCCTTGGGTGGGGAGGGGAGGGTACTGAATAGCCCACTTACCTGGAGCATGGCCGGCCAACCATAACAACAAAAAGCTCGGGAAAATTTTTCTCGGCGTAACTCCATACGTAGGGGTAATTGATGGTCCTGATCACGGTTCAGATACTTATTTTTGCCGCGGAGGCCATCTGGGGCCAGTACGCGCTAATAGGCACCGCCGCGCACACATGACAATGATGTGTAGGCACGGAGAAAGCCCTTTGCAATCAAATTAGCCGACACAGGTCCGCGTGGAGGCTGCCGCATAGTTCAAAAATGAGTGATCCGTGTTGATGATCAGAGCATCGGATAACCGCCGTAACCCAAGTTTCATGAAGAGTTTTTTCGATAGTATTTCGCGAGCGTAATAATTGAGTGAGGCCTATTTGTGAACCGTTCCCGCATGGAATTGTGCCTTCTCAAATGGGTAGTATTCCGGTTATACACTTTAATGGAGCATTACAGGAATACAAGACAGCAAAGATTGTGAAAAGATGGACAAAACGTTGTGTCGGCGGAGGGGACCGCCGATCACAACCACGGATCCGTCCGAGAGAGCCCGTCGGCCACTATCCACCACACATCCTGCAACACCCGACAAATCGATAGCAGTACCTGTTTGAAGACGATAGCGGCAGATGACGCGGAAAACTCCACAATTACAGCCACCGGCATGCCAAGTAGACCATTTGGATTTTGACCTTATTTTGCGCTGTTCTTCATGCCTGCTCAAAGAATACCCTACATACTATACACTATCAACGCTACAGCTAGAATAGAGGGAATAAGGTGGTTTAAAAAGCCCATTCTTTTCAAAGTGTTTTTGACGCGCGGTTTTTTTGACATTCCCAAAAACGCGTTAGCAAAAAAGTGAACGCCATCGCTGAGGTCACTTCCCATGGACCTCTACCAACATGGCAACACCAACTCGTTTTGAGAAAAGCTCACCCACTGAACACATGAAACGACCTC